AGTGTGATCCATTAGTATCATATGTTAATTAGCAATATCACTTTAATAAGATTCTTGAGCATACAAGATCCTTCAATCTCCCACTTGTGTAAAACTCATATTAGACTGATATAGACAGTGGTGAACATCTAGCAACATTTCACTACCCCCACCAACATATGACTTTGTACCATTCTATCAACGCCCAATTCCCAAAAAGCTCAAAGCTACAATTGGTGTATAAGGTAAGTTTATCAGTTATCCCTTTGTCACAGAAATCACGTTGAACATGAGATACATATCGCGATCAATCTCATTAGGTGTTCAACTTTTGGTAAGGCACCTTAGAATCTCAACACATAAGAGGAACAAATCCCATCTTGACTACATAATTCTCTTGTATAGTTCACACCATACCTAAAAATGACTTTTATAATTGACCGGTTAAGGACTAGCATTTGACCATATCAAAGCACAACACTCCCTATACTTAAGTCCTACTATGTATCTCAGGTTTTAAGGATACAAAGATAGTACCTTTTAATCAAGTATCATTCATGATAGCGATCCATGAGATGATCTTGATGTGGGTCAGTTCAATACTAGTTCTCTGACAAGTACCTATGAAACTTGGTTACAACCCATTGCCTACCTTCATCTGGTGAAAGTTAACAAATCCAAATCATGTTAGTCTTACTTCGTAATTGCTCCCACAATTATAACTGACTATGAACTTTTAGAATAATAAAATTATTCATGGATTAAATATGTAAATATAGAACACAACAAGTATTGATGTTATGATCATATCCCAGTGTATCAAGACATTATCTAGTTGTTGTCACAATGTTCAAATATCCAAATACTAAATCCAAATCAAAATCCTATTTCTAGAATAATAATGTATTATAGCTGAAGTGTGACCATTTATACTTAGCTTAGAAGAATGACTTTATTAATGGGTTCGAGTAAACTTAATTTGTATGAATTCACGAATACTATCATCTCCATGTTTGACTTTACTCTTGGTATAGTTAAATATTTTGGAGAATATGATTGGTGTTATTTCATAACATAGAGTTTCTTAGCTTGATTAAGTTTACTCTCGAAGTCACAAAGATTTCTATGTGATTATTAAATGGCGGAAATCAACATAGTTTTTTAGCGAACTCATTCATCCAATCGTATTTGATTTCAACTTCTAAAACAGTGTATTCTTAATTTATAGCAGATTGTGTCATTATGTTTTACTTGGACCTTATTCCAATTAAACTTACTATTCATTCCATAATGAAGTCATAATCCAATTATAATTCATAATTATCTATATTTGTTTAGAAATCAGAATCATATGTATCTCTTTACATGAAGATTTTATTATAAATTAATTATATCATATACATTCTCTTAGTTCTTCTAAAGTACTCTTAGAATGTTCCCATAGTCATCCGGTGACTTAACCATGCATTTAATTGGCATCTTATGATATGTTCACAACATGATTATATACCAGGTCTTATGCATAATATGGCATGATGGATTCATTTGCCAAGTAAATCGAATATGAGTTATTTCAGCTAATTCAAACCTATGAGCTAGATTCTTTTAAGGTTGGCTCAAAACTTAGTGTCATGTAATAATGTCAAGATTCCTCCAAAGGAATTTTGTGTTTGATTTCTTTCAAGATGTTGTTCATATATGCATAAAGATATAAAACTTTTAACATTCATTTTATCTATCTCTATAGATTTTACATTCCAAGAATGTATCTTGTTCTTTCTAAGTCTTTCATTTTATAAACACATCTCGAGTCAAGGTGAAAAAGCCTGCCATGGCCAGAATGTAATTTCTTATGATTAAGTATGTCTCACTCATACAAGATCAGGAATGTCACTATGCTCCCACTAGTTCTTATTAAACACATAGGTTCTATTCATTTTGATATAAGCGCATACATTATGGTTTTATATTAAAATGATTATTGCAACCTTGAGATGTTTGCTTTAGATCCACAAGTGGATCTCAAGCTTTTACACATTTTACTAGGATAACATGGATTAAGAAAACCTTCAGGCTAATCTATATAGATATCTTCTAGTAGATGTCTATTAAGAAAAATGGTCTTTCTTGAAATCTATTTGCTATATGTCATATTAAGAATATGATTTATAGTAAATAATATCCTTATTGATCTAATCATAGCTACTTGTGAAAAGGTGTGATCATAGTCAATGTCATGAGTATGATAAGGACCATAGTCAATGACACGAGTATGATAAAATCCTTTTATGACAAGCCTTGCTCAATGTGTATGATATTTATGTATATATTCTTTTTAAAAGAATCTCTTACTCCTTCTAACCTTGCTATATAGAGGAAGATTAATCAAGTCCATACTTTGATTATTACACATGGATTAATTCTCAATGTTCATGACTCTAAGTCATTTATCAAATTCAAGATTTGATGTAGTATTTTGGTAGTTGATGGATTCACTAGAAACCAGCAAGAATAACTCATCAATGAGAGATTCCAAGTTTCTCAAGCCAATGATGATTTCTACCATTAATGCGAACAAATTGTGTTTGTGGATAACTATTATTCAAGTTCAACAATTCCTTGTTGAAACTAGTGCCAATAATTCCTACATCAGTAGACCATAGTTCTTGAGCTGCTTCAAGTTCCATGTGTCTCCCACTTTCTTTGTCACTAGAAGCTTACTTTCTGCTGACTCGGTATTCAGAAAAATAAGAGAACTTATTCTTTGATGGGTTTGTATAATCTAAGTGTCCTTTTAGAATATTTTACGGATATGTAATTTTTTGGTGTTTGTATTCAAGATACAATTAATAGTAATTAAGGTATAATCCCCAAGACCATAAAGGAAGATAATTTCTACCGATTAGAAAGTAAACTTTATCTGGTAAGCTCTAATTCATCCTTTATTATCACTTAAATCTTTTGATGGTGTTAATGTATTGTATCTCAACTTTATGTTTGAAACTTCAATAGATGTTTCAAAATTTATGCTTTACTATGTAAAATATAATTATAATTACTATAGTTATTAATAAAGTTGATTTGGTATTTTGCATTAAATCTTAGACATTCATTAAAAAGGAAGTCATACACCATAACGTATAATTCCTTAATATTTCCTCTACGGTTTAGTGAAAATATGATTACAAATCCTTTACATATATACAAGATTCATATATATCAAATAAACTATATTATTTGCCTTCAAAGATTCCTTTCTTGAAGTTGGAATATGTGTATTTCATTTAGATAATAAAGATAACAATGTCATAGATAATTTTGATTTAAAACAATTTTAAGTCAAAAGTGCTAGCATATAGAGCTTAATTTTATTTATTAAATATTGATATTTACTTTATAATTATATTAAGAGATCTAATCTTATAAATAGAAGTTAATCATTTCAAAATATTAATATTATTGTTATGAAAAACGATCAAGTAAATAATCAAACATTTAAATAAAACAACTGAGATATAAATTTTTATACATGCTAAATTTAAAGCATATATTGTTCCAAAACGAATATTGTTTTATATTACAAGTAATATATGCTATAAGCATAAATAATGAACTAAACTCCGAGAGTGTAGTTCCAACTTATTTGTGCTCAGTTGGTTACTTTTCTATAAATATATGCAAACAAGTTACAAATATTAGCTTAACATTTAAGTATCAAGTACTTGAGTGTTATATGAAAAATATAAGTTCTATCTAGTAAATACCTAAAGTACTAGTCTCCTCTAAATTATTTTTTTCAGATAAGAGAAGCAGTTCCTCTTCCAGTATCCAATTTCTCCACAAAGAAACACGATCCATCTATGTGGGTCTTCTTGGATTTCTTGAGCTTAAAGGTGTTCAGTCCATAAAACATGAGCTTCTTAGATCATACAAAGTGACTCTTTTTTAGCCTTGCATTATTCCATTGTTTGAGCAAGTTTAGAACAAATATCACTATATTTATTGGAATATTGCTTAACTTATTTTTCCACATAATGATGTAATTGAGGTATTAAAAACGTTAAATAGGTTTAAACTATTAAACCAAAAGAGGTTTGTTTCACAAACCCATTATGCATGACCAATATTGTCAATCTCGTAAAATTAAGCCCAATCCTACACTGCAAAGTCATAGCCACATTCTAAAAACAACATGAATGATGTGAATATGGGATGACATGACTAAAGGCGAAGTTTATGTAATCATACATATTGGTTATGAAGGCTAATTCTTTAACCTCCCTAATATATTCCTTTAGTTGCAACACCTTATGTCATGTGTTATGCCCATACAAAACGCTATGGGCAAGGTATGATGGTTTCTGTATATGGAAACCGCTATGAATATTGAGCGTAAGTAGTTTTCTTTCATAGGGGCACTACCTATGAACAACACTCGAAGCATTCAACTCATAAATGTTTGAATCTATATTTTTTTGTAACATCAATTGTAACAATATTAATATAATTATAACTGAAAACAAACAAGTGATATATTCCAAAAGTATCTTACCACACGTCTAAGAGCCACAAAACAGAACTTAAAATGGTCCCTCAGATCTTCTGGCGTTGATAAAAGTTTTCGAGTTGGTTCTTTCAAAATTATGAAAGTAATCAGGAAGGTTGGCAAAAGCTTTCTTCACAAATAAGATTTGATGAACTTATTTTTCGATGTTGCAAAAGCATATTTTGAATTTTGTTTTAAAGAAGAAAATGATGGAAACAAAGGATGCGTAGTGCAAAGATTCTAAAGTTTGTGATATGTAATTTAGTCGGTCCGGAATGTACAATGTCAAATTAATAATATCATTACGTAAAATCTCACTAACCATGCATTAACTCCAACTCCAAAACCGACATAACTACTTTGGAATTTCCGAAGAAAATAGTTATTTTTCAAATTCTAAAAAAAAAAAAAAGATAATTTTTGTTAATTAACTTTAATAAAATAGAATGATATTTGCCTTATTTACTGGCCGAAGAGAGAAGAGATAAAGGAGGCTGGAATCAGACGCCAACTTTGGTTCTTCTCTCTATTCCTTTCCTTTATATATACATCTCAACGCTTTCTAGACAACTGTGTCGGTTTATCTCTCAATCACAGGAGTTACAACCAGTAATCCCTCTCTACAATCGCTCTCTAGAACCTTCCTTTCTCCCATCCATGGCGTCTCCATCTCAAGCAAGTCTCCTTCTCCAGAAACAACTCAAAGGTCTCACCGTTTTCTCGATTCTAGGGTTCTGATTTCGATTTACTTTAACTTGCTCTGATTCTTTATTTCTTTCCATGATGATCCGTGGCTTATTTTGCAGATCTCTGTAAAAACCCCGTTGATGGATTCTCGGCCGGTCTTGTTGATGAAAGCAATCTATTTGAATGGAGTGTCACCATTATCGGGCCTCCGGATACGTTATAGTGAGTTATTCTATTACTTCTTGCTCAAATATTGTATCTGTATCTTACATATATATAGTTTAGAAGCTTAATTATATGAAATTGAGGCTGACACAGTCTGTCGATTGTTCTTGTTCTAACCTGTTCCTATGTTCTTGCTCTGTTTATTGATTTAATTGGGTTTCTTGGGGGTTTTAAAGAGCTATATTTGTATTACAACACCAGATCACCAATCACAGTGCATTCTTTAGGGTTAGCAGTTCACAATGTTCTTGATCAATTGTAGAACTGCTGACTACATGATAATGAGATTATTCTATAACCTTTTTGGTTTTAAAATTAACATCTTATGTTCAATTAACTTGATGAGGAACCTAAGTTTGGTGGACGATGATTATGGTGACATCTTTCTTCTGTTTGGACTTTTTTGAGTAACCTTGAGTCCAATTCCTGTGGTTTTCTTGATCAATACTGAATTATGGTTTTCTTCTTCTACTTAATTTACCATATTATGTTATGTATGTTCTATTTTTAATTCCATAGATGAAATTTAATGTTTCTGTCTAATGGTTATGGGTTCATTGTTTCAGTGATGGAGGTTTCTTTAATGCTATAATGACCTTTCCACAAAATTACCCAAATAGCCCTCCAACTGTGCGATTTACATCAGAAGTTTGGCATCCCAATGGTTAGTAATTAGTTTCCTTCTTACACATACTTTTAAAAATCCAATCTTTCCTCTCACTTTTTGTCCAAAATCACTCGTTTAACAAAAGACATTTCACATTTATAATAGATGAAAAGTGAAAACATCCATAGTTATATAAAGTAATATAATCAGTTTTTGGTGTTTACAGTTTACCCTGATGGAAAGGTTTGTATTTCAATTCTCCATCCCCCTGGTGATGATCCTAATGGATATGAGCTTGCAAGTGAACGCTGGACACCTGTCCATACGGTATGACACAACTAATTTCCAAAAATACCCTTGTGTTATTATCAATAACTTCAACAAGAATAATGAAAGTTCTTACCAATAATTTGATATTTGCAGGTTGAGAGCATAGTGTTGAGCATTATCTCAATGCTTTCAAGCCCCAACGACGAATCTCCTGCAAATGTTGAAGCTGCGGTAATGACCATATTGCCCTTGTGTTATTTGTTATTTTTCTTGAGCATTGGTTTAAGATGTTTGTGTTTATTTTTGTTGTGATTACAGAAAGAATGGAGAGATAGAAGAGATGACTTCAGGAAGAAAGTGGGGAGATGTGTAAGGAAATCACAAGAACTGATGTGATGATGATGATGATGATGATGATGTAAAACCAACACTGGCTGCTGCTTCTTGCTACTACTCACTTGTAGAATTTCGCCATTGCTATTGACATTTTGTGTTTGTTAAATTCTGGTTTTTGATTCCTTTTGAAATGAAATGGTTGCTTTGTTTTACTCTCTCTCTTGTGTTTAGATTGGTTCTCAAATGTGATTTAGGGACAAAAGTATTTTTTGTTGCAAATTGGATTCATTTTTCTTTTTTGAATCTTGCATTTGGATTTGAGTGATTATTGCTTTAAGAATGTACCAGAAATAACTACTGTGTCAATTACAAAATGACAAAAATAGAAATGTCTCCTATCACCAGATGGCCATTAATTTTTTATTTTTTGGATGTTTTCTAAAGAAATAAATGATAATCCATTTTGCAAAGTGGGATTTTGAATTTCCGAAGCAGGAAACGCCATTTATTTTATAATTTTTTTTATATTTATAAAGAAATAAATGATCGTCCATTTTGCAAAGTGGGATTTTGAATTTGCGAAACAGGAAACCGATGGTTTCCACAATTTATCTATATATCTTTTGTTTTGTGATGGTTTATGAAATTTTTTCAAAATTATTTTGTGTTTAAAAATTTCTTAATGTATCAAATCAACTAATATTCTCTAAATACCAGCATGTGGTGTGCCTAGCCTTGTCGAAAATAACCGATACGTGAAAACCTAAAACCTGACGGGTATACCCGAACAACACAACAAGCCTAGGCCTGCCAACATTTCACATGAGCGGAGCATGGCTGCACCACACCCATTTACGTGGGGCCCTCGAAATCCAACCTCTCTCTCTCTCTCTCGTATTATACAAACATTTTATGCGTAAAACCCAGGCAAATCAAATAGATCCATATCAGCGACAGTTGAGAGAATTCGGGTATCTTCCATATCCGCAGTTCAACTCCTTTCCCACGTTCCTTCTTCAACGGACAGTTCCACAACCTCCGACCTCACTTCTCATTCAACCTCTCCCAAGTTCAACTCCTTCCCCACGTTCTTACTCTCTTACTATTGATTGTGTCTAAAAGTTTTTTTTTCAAGGAGTATAAAGGCCTCCACCTCATATTCATTGTTTTCCTTCGTCATCTGTTCTTGTTCTTGCTAATTTTATTTGATTTATTGTTTGCAGGTCTCAAGTAATATGAAGAACTTATGACATCAAATCCTTGTTAGACCCTCGATCTTCTGCTTTGAATCCTTTCTTCCCTTCGATTTTCTTTTGTTTGATTTAATTTTGATCTACTGGGTATAATTTTGTAACTTGATTTGATTTATTTTGGGTAGGTTTAGAAGTAATTTGAAGAAGTCGACTTATATATGACTGTCAATTGGATGCTTCGTGCTTGAATTCCACAGTTTGTCTCATCAGTTTCTCTCTCATGCTTCTCAAACACCCTCTAGATATGGAGGTTTGATTTGGATAGTTTACTGAATCGCAAAGGCGTTTGATGTGTATGTCGATAAGTTGTATTTAAAACTGTTACTGTGTACAATTTTGTTTTTGTGATGTACATTTTACTCATTACTGTTTTTTTATATTTTGTTTCAGCATTGGTGTGGAGTTTGGTGTACCTGTTACTAATTCAAATGTAGACATACCATTTAAGATGTGGCAACGACATATGACATTTGAATACTCAAGTTGTGAAACTGCTTCACCAATATTTGGCATAAGTTTCAAATTTAGATCAAAAAGAGTACTCCCAGGAGAACAATCTGAACAATTGAACTTCTTAAGTACTTTCTCAATGTAATGAGACTGTGAATTTGAGATTCCTTGATGTTCATTGTTCTCTCACTTTGATATCCTCTTTGGCACTTCCAAGATTTCATCTTCAGCGTATTCAAGCAAGGGGGTACTCAGAACATACACCACTTTCAAAGTATTGTTATTAAAGTTTAGGTGTGGATATGTACTTGTAACGTCCCAAAAAACAGAGTAATTTTTTATTATTAAAAGAGATAAAAACTGTATTTCCATCAAACACAAGTCTCCAAAAAAATTGTTTCACAGCCATATCAAATCAGAGTATCTCTCAAAACATGAAAACTATTGGATGATATGTACAATCACGCCTTTGCCTTTCCACTGTCTGTTGAAGAACCTGAAACATTTAAATCCACAACTGTAAGCCAAAGCTTAATGAGTTCCCCAAAATACCACACATAACAATACACATACAATGCATGCACACATGAGCCTTCAGTCTGACTGGACCACCTCGCAAGGTCTACAGTACACGTGGACCGCTCTCCTGAGCCTACAACACGGGGTTGGATCGCTATCCTTGGGCCTACAGTATCAACTGGACTGCCCGGGTATCTTGGCCTACATCATAGAGCATGACCACCTCAACCCAACCACAATATGTCGACATATGCAAACAAACAATATCAAGCAAACACATGTAATCATAATAGATCTACCAGACTAACAAATCGCTACAACATAACACCATTCTACACACAAGGATACATATTACAGTACAAAATATAGTGAGAAAACTCACCTCACAGATAGTCAGATAATCTCTACAACTCGTTGTCGGTGAAGATTGGTGCCTCAATGTAACATACACGTTCAATTATCGTGTTATGTAATTTTAAAAGTGAATAATATTATGGTATATTATATAATTATGAGTATTGAGTTCTAACGGATAGTTTTTACTAGAAATGAAGTAAAACTATGTTTAGAATCATCCAGAATGTTTTGGAAGTCTTATGAGATTCCGAACAAAAGGCAAATATTGAAATTTAACGAAAATATAAATTTTGAAATAAGTAAAATTTTATTATTGAAAGTTTTAAAGAATCTCGTTAGAAACATTTAGGCGAAAACTTCATGGAAATCCGAGTTATAACGAAGAAGTTATGACCAATCGAAGATCCGCGACAAAACCGGCACGGCGCCGAATGACGTAAAAAGTGAGTTTTTGATAAACTACTTTTTAGTCATGTTGATTTAAACGAAAGTCGTAGTATTTGTTAAACCGAGAATTTTGATAATAAGAACGCCCAAATCTGACTTCGTATGAGGAAGTTATGATTTTTCTAAGTTTCAGCTTAGCAGTAGACAGCTAAAAACTCGAATTTTAGATCGAGTGATATTTAGCCAAAACAACCTAAACGAGAATCGAAGGTCTCGTTAAAAGTAGTACAACGGTAAAAAGACTGACGAAAACGGACGCTAGATTTTCCTGTCCCGGTCTGTTAAAAATAATAATATTAAAACTAAAGTCAAAATTAGCCAACGAAGTCTAAACGAAACTTGTAGAGCATAATTTTCCCTACGCGTGCATATAAAGAACGTCAAAAACGGAGCTCGTATGCGAAAGTTATGGATTTTAGAAGTTTTGGCACAAAAATCGAGAATAATTGCGAAATCCGAGAAAAATCGCATGGCCTGAGTTCGGCCACGTCACCCTGGCTCCTCGCGCGACACGTATCTGATGCGAGCCACATCAGGCGCGCCCCGTGTATGACGTCGATGACTCAGCTGAAGACCATCCGACGCGTGTGCTGCTTCCGGTCCGACGCGTGCCCTTCTCGCATCTGAGCCTCGCACCTGTTGTCGCGTGTCCGAGCCTCGCGCCACCTGCCCTCCTTTCCTCTCGCTTCAGATCCGAGGCTCGCACCTATATAAGGGTGTGAGACCTCCTGGGTAAATGTTGGAAAATTGTCACTTTTCACCCTTAAACTCATATTTTAACTATTTCCACTTCCCCCGAAGCCCCGGTATCATTTTTAACACCCGGAACACGCCCCGAAGTGCCCGAGAAGCCCGAAAAATTTATCTTTTCGGTTTGAAGCTCACAGGGCCCGGTTTTCAAGAAAACTCCCAGTTTTCATTGAAGAAAGTCAATTATAGTAACGAAGTGCTGCCCAAATTACTATTTTAACCCCCGGTTATTTCACGGTGAGTTCAATATATAGGAACAATTGTATGTTATGTGTTATATGTGCTATGTGCTTTTCCGTGTTATCATCTCGTGTTATTATTTCCGCTATTTTGATAGCAAAGTTATACCTTTGGCCATGTGATCAGTGAAAGGACTTAGATTCACAGTTGTATTGGTATGTAGCCTCTGGCCATGTAGAGCATGTCTCGTAAGAGAATGACTTCTATTCTATGGCATTGCCAGAAGGTTAGACAGGGCTGAAAGCCTGAAATCTACCAAAATGTTTAATCAGAAAGTGTATGTCTTCTGTGCCATTTGGGCCGAAGTGTTATTGATGTATATCAAGTATTGAAATTGTTATGTCTTATTGATTGATATGGAAAGCTTGTCGCATGATTCACATATGCCTTTGTTGTTCCTTGTTCCCTTTGCTTCTGCCATATTGAAGTATATATATGGCATAACGTTATATTGTATCTATTATTGAACTCACTAAGCGTCACCGCTTACCTCTCTCAATGTTTAACAATTGCAGGAGATAAGTAACCAGTATAGTCATATACTGTTGGAAGGTTTAGAATAGTTATAATATTACTTTTGTATTTAGGGATCATGTATGTATAAAAGTATAGTATCCTGGGTAGTTGTGTAATATATAACACTTTGTAATAGTCGGTTTGTATCCAGTAGTTTGTAATCACTTTATCAATGTAAAATATTGTTTTTATGAATATGCATGTAGCATGTTTTGGAGTAACAATTGTCAAGTATGAAAGTTTGGGTCTTTCAGAAATATGAAAGTGTGGGTCTTTCAATCAAACACCTAAACACATAAATCAATGTCAACCTCAGCCTAAGACCCAAGACCCTAAAGTTTGACCTAAAGTCAAACCTAGTCAAAGTCAACAAAATTCAAATTCTGGTCAAAAGAATAGCGCACTTCCTAAGAGCGCCCCATGCTCATATGAGACAAAACAGTCGACCCCTTTTAGCAAAACCAACTCGCAATAGGAAACCTAAAAAGTGCCCCACGCTCAGGAAATGTGCACTGCGCTTTGGCTAACTTTTAATGACTTTTGTCTTAATCCTTTAAGACGGGAATCCAACTTCTAGATATGAACTCTCACAATGTCCTAATGGATAAAGCTTCCAGCTTTATCCATTATTATGAACCCAAATAATAAGATCTAAACTTGAACTTCAAAAAGGGGCAAAAAGTCAACCTACTTTGCATGGCCAAGAGAACAAGCTCCAAGATGCCAA